AACAAACAAACATCTAGAACAAATAACATTTGAAGGGCTTGCCTGATGTGTCTGACCTAAAATGACTTAAAGCTTCAACAAATCGTATGTCCTACACTATACAGATAAAATGTTTTGCTTCTGTTCAAAAGATATAAACACACCTATACCTGCTCTCTGCAAACATTTGAGCGGTATTTAGCTTTTTATACGCATATGATACAATACTGCTATTGGCTTAAGTCAATCTAGGACTGCTGTCACCAAAGGACGCGCAGATGTAGCCCCGCTAGATCCATGTTCACGTGGCCTCTTTCGTGCCGGTACCGGTAATGAGGCGGTTGTACTAACATTCACGTGGTAACTGAATCAGCTCAGTCATTTCACAGGAAAAATAAATGATTTGTAAGAACTTGGTGAGACGGATCAGAGCCGGACTGATTCACCACGTGCTCGTTACTGCCAGCACGCAGGGAGGCAAGTGAGCTGCAAGAAAACCATGGGAGGAGAAGGCGATGTCCATCACTGCACATGGGAACAGATGCGGTGGCCARCTTCCCTTAGGACATTCCCAGTTGATTTGGTTTATAGTGGAGCCCCAAGAACACCTGAGGAGAGGGTGAAGTGCAGTTTGGAGGGAGAAAACGACAGGCGGGAAGAAGGTGGGAATTCTCACACCAACTTTTGCACTGGAAGAAAAGGCAACAACATAAACTACGGCATAGGTATCCTATGGAAGTCGCCTGCTACACACTTCCACTGGACTGCGTGTGTTGCACACGTCAGGCACACAGAGGAATTTCTCCAGGTTGGTGTTTACCTTAGTAGACGCTCTGCCTGCTCAGAGCCCCCAGAATCCGTCCCTTTGGAAATTGGTTTGAACTTACAAAATTAAGCCATGAAATAGGGTTAATTTTGCCAGGCAGTGGCACACTGGGGACTAGGCTTGGTCCTTTATCAGCATGTTTTTAATGCTTATTACTATAAGATCTGAACCGGTCAGATTCAGAACACAAATTGATAAGTATCTTGTAACTTTCTTGTAAAATTAGGAGCTCTTTTAGAGGCAGGAAACAGAGACATACCGTAATTTGCTCAAGATCACATAGGGACCTCACTGTAGAGACAGTAAGTAACATATTCTGTATTTGGTGTGCTCTAGTAAGAAAAAAAAATGCTTCTGGGCTTTAAGTAGACCTTGGAGGTGGCTCTTAATATGTCTCAATTCAGGGAATTATAAGCATTAACATAAGCATTAACAGAGCATGACAACAACTCATCTCYCAAATGCTAAACTTTAAATACGCAAAATATTAATCTTTTTAAAGATCCAGATTTGAACTTTTTTCTTTTGCCTAAGAGAAAAATACAGTGCTTTTTTTTTCATAACTGCTTAGGAACTACCGATTTTTGCTAACATTCTTGCTGTGCAATAACAATAATACTAGCTCTGCATTCAGGAATTTAACTGAGAAGTATTTAACGATCTCATGCATCTCGTTATCAGCTCCGTTTGGGATAGTAGAGAGCTGTATAAAGAAAAAAATAAAAAGGCAAATACAAACAGGTGGATGAAGCACTTTGGAGTGCACGAGAGCTCAGCGGTGTTCGCTGCGGGCTCGGGGGGTTCCGCGCGCGCTCCCGGCCGGCTCTCCTCCTGCTTCCCGGCGCGGGCAGCCGCATTCCCAGGCAGGCGCCGTCCCGCTGCTGCCYGCGCCGGGGACACCTGCAGACACTCCGTCTTGGCCAGGCCGGGGAATTACGCTGCTAGGAATTACGCTGTTAGTCGTACAGGCTGTGAGAGAGCTCTGCCAGCTGAGCCTTATCTCCCCATCTGGCTGTGCGAGAACAAGTCCCGCATGAGTCACGTCCACCTCACAGCCCGTGCGCGCAGGAAGAAGTTGTTTTTCCAGCTGGGTCCCGCCGATCCCAGCGCATAATTCTGCCTTTCTCAGAGAGCTTCCTCGCTCTCGGATGCGCGTCTCGGGGTCGAGCTTTGCTCGCTGCCTGCSCCACGGCATGGAGCCGGGTGGCAGCTCGCGTCACCTGTGTCGTCCCTGGGACCCACATGAAGCGGCACTGTGAGCCCAGTGGCATCCGGCCTGGAGAAGCGCTTGGGAAYAACCTTGCGAATGGGGCAGGAACTGGCTGGCAGAATGAGTGGGTTTATAGTTATTTGGTGTAGATAAGCCATGTGAAGAACTGGTCGCTTGGTGTGGAAATCAAAAAAAAGGGACTTCCCCGCCCAATTGCTTTCGTTCAGAGGAGTATTTTATTTGGCTGTGCATGGCAAGCCACAACCTTAAAAACACCTAAATCCCAAATTAAATAAAAAACAAAAGCCCCACTGTGAGAAACAACTTTGAAATCCACTGTCTCCAATTACTATTGTAATACCCACAGTGATGCCAACCACCCCTCTACACAAACTAGCGTATGCACATAAACCCTAAATCTGATCCATCGGATCAGGAAGTTCAATTTAAAAGTCAGCTCAAAGCTTCCTAGGGCCCCTGTGCGAATGCAAGCCCTGTGAATTGTAACAGTGAAGTTAAGCAGACCGAGGCAAKGGTAAAACAAACCTCTAGACTGTCATTAAGCAGCGTAACCAAGGGGACTTACTCTAAAATATGATTGTCAAGAAATCACTTTCCATTAATGATCATTGCATTCTGTGCCTCGCAGTTGCTTCTGTCTTCCAATATGCATTTAACAGCCCACAGGACGTTGTGGCAATCCACGTTGGAAGCTGTAGGCCATATCCTTACCCTGCCGGCACTGCTGCACAGCTCAGATGTGTAATGCTAGGCTTGGATCTGCCACGCGAGGCCCTGATCCCAGGAAAAGCTTTGGCTAAACTAACCTCCGTGCTTGCAGCTCAGCTTGCACCCAAGGCAGCAAACGCCTATCAGGCCWGCCCGGGATCTGCCCAAAGGACCAAACTGCTGCATAATGGATTAGAGGCTTCTCGTAAACTAGTACAGAAGATCTGGAAAAGACTCCTCTGTATTTTGGTTGACTAATACTTTCCATTATAAAGGACTSTCTTTGGGAAGTRTTAGCACCTCTGYTGTTTGCAGCAGGCCTTTGATATTTAGCAGGGGAAATCCCAGGGGCTATAGTGGTACCTCTTCATTGCCCAGAGAAACGTGACTCAGGTTCACCTGTACTGTAAAGCATTAGAAAGGCTGGGGCTTGGATTCATGAACAAAGGCAGATTAAAATCAGGCTGCCACCCACATCTGTCTGGCCTGCCCCCGCTGCGCAGGTGGCTCCGCTGCTCCTGAAACATCAGCTGAACTGCCACAAATTGGAGTTTGGCAGGTTTAGTAAGAGGAAAACCTGCGCACTAACCTCTCAGCTGTCTGCAAAGCACAAACATTCAAGTAGGGACTTCTAAAGCGAAGAAAAAGGTGGGCAGCAACGGGAAGGATTTTTTAATACCTTTCGGTTTTCATCTGCCTGTAGTTGTGATGGGCCTTACTCCTTCTCCTGCTAAAAACTGCGGAATGGTGTGGTTCTGAGGTGCAGGTTGTGAAGCCAAAGCAGCAGCGAGTCTGTTCCCTGGAGCAGGGAGGGGAGCAGGGAAGGGGCTGCTGGTTCCGAGGCGCCCCTATCCCAGCACACAGTTGTCCCTACAGTGTCCACGCAGCTGGGATGCGACAGCGGCAGGCAGCCAGCTCAGGTCAGGCTCTGCTGSAGTGAAGGGCCGGGTTTCTGCAGAAAAGGCACCGTGCAGCTCCTGCCAAATAAAGGCGCCGCGGAATCCCTGGCTGCCCCACGCTTACACGAGAAGCTCATTTCCATTTCAGATGACGCATTTTTGTTCGTCCTGTTCCCATCCTGGAGTATCGCTCCCGTCTTTGCCGGCTGGGGACTCACCCCTTTGCAGGCTGGGCTGCCAGTAGCAGCTTGTCCACACGGAAATGAGCGCTCAGGATGTGCTGATGGCGCAACGCTGCTCTGCCAACGCGCTGGGAATTGCTCTCAGAGGGGCACAGCCAGCCAGGCTCTGGGAATATTTCTGGGTCCCCAAGGGAAATTGGCTTGTAATTGCTAATACATTGTAAGTTAATTTTCTAGTTGGCTGAATAATACCTTTTCACGTGTTCAAGTCTCAGATATTTTAGTTGGAGAGCTCATTGGTTTCTCATTTTCACTGCGATGAAAGATGCCCATCTTTTTGCTATATTCTTTATACAAAAAATAATTAAATAAATATCTTTGCCAGCTCTGAGCCTAACAGGTGAGAACAACCATAGCTAGGTGGAACTATTTCTGAAAATAAATTAAAAAATTTAGGCCCACTTAGCTATGCTGCCAGTATCTTTCATTTTCTTGCAAGTCATTGTACCTGTAGCACCCAACAATAGCTGTAAAATTTCARTTATATCAAATGGTATATATKTTTTAAAGTGAGCTCTATCAATATTTATATTATTATTTACACATAACATTTTCATGTTCATAACAATACATTGTAGTTTTAAAGTCTCTCTAATAACTGTTGAAAAATATTTGAAGTTACTAAATTAAGCTAAAAATCTGTCTAAAACTTTGTAAGTTTTATATATAACTATTTCACAAGCTGTTATCTGTTTTCTAATAAATAAGATAGTGAGCTAATCAAATTTTTATATTTATATTTATATTATTTTTATTTTTATTTTTATTTTTATTTTTATTTTTATTTTTATTTTTATTTTTATTTATTTATATTACCTACCAGTTAAAACTGTTTGTCTAGTGCATTTGCTCAATGCTTTTCCCTGACAACTATACTAATTTAAAAACAAATATGAATATATATCCATGTTATATATTATATATGTTATATGAATATATGAAATTTAAAACTTTCTTATCTAAAAGGCTATAAATGCAAGTAATGCATAATAAGGTGCATCATGCATATATTCTCTAAGCACATTAAAATAACTGAATATGAAAGCATCCAAAAAACACACAGTATTATATGTACATTTTGACAATCCTTTTATGCATTTTGTTTTTTAAAAAAATCTTCATCTTCTGAAGATGCTACTTTCCATAGTAAAATCCCCCACAAAAAGGGTTGGTTTCTAAAATGTGATGTGAATTCCCAAGCCCAGTTCCATTCCTACTAGTTTTTCACTTGCATTCAGTGGTGTTGCCTCATCACCTCCACTGAGAATGAAAGAGCTTTCCGAGAGCTCGGCMGCAGCGTGCAGTTGCGAGTACACGGGCTCCTCTGCGCACGGCTCCGTTTCCACCAGAACATTTTCTTCRGTAGCTTGAGACCACGGCTGAAGTTGTGTGAAAGGCTCTTCTACAGCTGAAGTGTCTTTTTTGCAAGAGTCCCCTCTTCCTCTTGCAGGACTATTTGGCCTTACCAAAGACTTCTTCATTTCCATCTTCTTATTAGGAGTCTGACCTAAACCTGTAACCGCATTGCATACTGCTACATTCAGTTTCGCATATCCCTCCTCATCTTCTTTATATCTAAGGAAATAAAATTGAAAATATTGAAAACACAGGTTAAAAAATTATTTTTTTATAGCAGAAAATGAGTACAACATCCAATTAATGAAACTGAAAATGTTGACAATTAAATGCTGAATCAGATTGCTAGGCATTAGGTTGCACTCAAAAGACACACTATGCAAAGACACACGGGTAACAGAGCTTCAACAAGTAGTTTTTAAGCATATATACATAACTGAACAGAAGAGATAGTTTATATTTTATTATTTATTATTTATTATTTATTATTTATTATTTATTAATTATTATTTATTATTTATTATTTATTATTATATTTTTATCGTTATATAATTTATATTTTTTATTATTTATTATTATATTTTTTAAACAATTATATTTTATTAACCAGATTTCTTTATTCCAAAATGGAGAGTGGAAGCTGTTCATACCACAAAAGATATTGGTATGTAGAGCAAGTCTCCCCAGCTTAAACTGTCAACAAATTTCTTTCAAAAAAATAGGTTAAGAGAATTTTCTAGTGATAAAAGTTATAATAGCGGGCTTTTTTTCCCTTGAGTCAACTAGCTTTACACGAGGCTTTCTGTCACCCTTATGAAACCTTAAAAATAACTTGTTTTATGCTTGGAGCATTTAAAGCTGAATCAAACTTAAGACAACATTAAATACTTGAGTCCTCTTAAACAAAATCTAGAAGAAAAGAGCATTTTATTTTATGTTCTGAAGAAGAATCAGCTGCTAACATACCTGAAACGAGAACGGCAGCTGAGTTTATGAGCGTTTCGAAGATGCAAGGTCAACGTATAACTCCAGGAAAAACATTTTTGACAGATGTGGCATTTGTATTTCAGAACACCATCACGCTTGGAAAGAWATGGTAAAGTCATTTAAGGCTAGTTCACATATATATATATATTAAAAAAAAGTATTTTTTGAAATGGGGCAAAACACACTAGGTCAAAACTTTCTTGACGCTAACTTCCTAAAAAGTCTAAAATTTGATGGGTTTTAGGAGAAGTTTTAAGGAATCCCAATGTATGTGGAAATCTCCTGGACAGTCTTGAGTACTACAGATGTCTTCAGTAAGAAGGTGGTATATAACTTCCACTAAATCATATTTGTTTTATAATATAGTGGTGATCATAGCTCAGAAAGYTGAAAAAAGAGGCAACAAAGACACACAAACTATAGCAGCCAAAAATGTATTTTAAAGCTGTACCCAAAGACTTGCCCAGCTGAAAGTGTTGCACGCTTYACAAATTTTGCAGTTTCTCTGGTTTGGTGTAATGTATTAGTTCAATGGAGTGGAGTGCCAACATAAGGAGAAAGGTGACATTGGATTCTAATCCCTGAAATATTTTGATTTTGCAGATTAGGATTAGCAGGATTAGCATCTAAAGGGGGAAAAAAAAAAAAGAGTGAGAGGTTGGCCGGAATTCAATACTGAGCATGCAACTGCATGCACTTAAAAGTTAGCRCTCAAAATCTATAGGTAAGCATGAGTGAAGTATTTGCATAAGGCTTGAAAAAGAACTTTTTCAAAAGTTCTAAAAGTTCATGTACAAATAAACACCTGATTTGTGGCTAAGTGGCATATTTCATGCATTCACATGAAACTAAACACACATAAACTTGAAGCTTCAGTCTCGATCGTAGCAGTATATTTTATTCCTGTGTTTAAYAGACCTACCGCGTGTGCTCTCTTGCAGTGCCATCTCAGAGTCTGCAAAGTCCGTGAGGTAAAACCACATCCTTCAACATCACAGCTGTAGGCATCTGAATCATTGTGTGTTTCAACATGTTTATGCAGATCGTAAGCATTCTTAAAACTAAAAACAAGGTAAAACAAATAACAGATATAATAGTACAGAGGAGTAGTTTTGTGGTTAATGTTTAGGACTGTGAGGAACTATTTTTTGGCTCCTACAATGACAAGTGAAAGCTGAACATGTGTAAATCATTTCTCTTCTCTACCTCAGTTTTTCCACCTGTGAAAAGGGGATAATACAGACATCTCTTTGATGTGCTCTGARTTTTATTTTCCATTCCTTCTTTCTTCCCACACATCCAGACCATGTCCAAATCTAGCAAATTTTTCCCCAGCCRTATTGCAAAACATCATTCTTTGTTCCCTGTTCACACAGAGAAAATTCTTGTCTGGGAGCTGGACAGTCACTTCATCCTCTGWGGTCTTCAAATTCAGTTTATTTCCTTCTGTCCACCCACAGTGTGAACACAAAAATACTTGCCCATTTGTTCACTTTATCCCACTTCCAACATACAAAGGTTGAACTTTCCATCTTCTCTGTTGAAGTCATACATAATTCTACCAGTGTTTGTATATGCAACTGAGTCCATCACACCTCAAGCCCACTTTCTATTTCACTGCTGTTAACTTCCATGTGATGAAAGCAGAAAAGAAACCACCATGAAAAAAACACCACAGAGGACAGCAAAAAGTGTAGCGAGCCTGTGGCAGGACAATCACTCCAAGGAGAAGACTGTGACTCCCCCAGGAAACAGCCAGCAATCTTTTAGAAAAGCAAGCCAAACAGTTTAAGGCACTGTCGCTACATATCTCAACTTGTCGTGATGACCATTTGATAATACACATACCCTTGCTGAGAAAATTTACTTTTTAACACATCAGTCCTATTTCTACCAGAAGTTTATGAACTGTTTCAACATCTGAAGACATCAATCTGTTTGATTTTTTTTTTTTTTTTGGAAGAGTTTACTATAGCGGTTGAAAGCTTTTCCTATCCTTACTAACCCCTATATAAAACACCAGTTCAGTTTGGTAGTTCCCTTTACTTAGCTAGAGCCGCAGACCCTCTTACCCGCTCGCACAGAGGTGACAGGGGAAGGGCCGTTGGTCACAGTGCCGGAATCTGGTGTGCGCTTTGAGTGCGGAGACRCTGGCGCACGCCGCGTCGCAGAGCGGACACGTCACGCGGCTCACTGCAAAGACAGACCCTTTCAGCTCTCTCTCACAGCATCTCCAGGATGGTCAGGCTGCTATGGCTTATGGCAGGGACATTTTAATAAACACTCATATTAAAAGTTCATATTAAACTCACAGACTGTCATACGTACAGATTAAAAAAAAAGGAGCTAAAAGTGGCATGGAGACATAACGAAGATGGTAGTCAAATAGTAGTCAATACTGCAATGTTTCAAACTACCTTCCAAAAAATGAAAGGTAAGGGAAAAAGATGAAAAGATGTAGAGGATCATGTTTCACTCTCTAGGCTCTAATAAGAAGGATGATTATCTTCTTGCCCGTGGCACTTGGGGAGGATTCCTAAAAGGTGGATGTTGCCTGAAGGCCTTCTTGACAGGCAAGCCCTGGCAAATCTGCTTCTGGTGTTTAAGGTATTACTCCCCTAAGCAGGTGGCAGAAGGACTGAGTGTCTGCCCTCCACCTCCCCATTTCACACTCGGTATATTTGCTTTAAGTATAATAGTGGTAGGTGCTTGCTGAGATGCCAGACTACAAACTGCCAAGGCYGAGGCAGAGGGGCAGGTTTATTCTGGTAACTTTGCAGCAGGGCAGAACCTCTGGCAGCTTGGCAGCCAGCTCTGTAACCTTTTAAGCTGAGCAAATGCTTGCTTTGCTACATACAATGATTGCAATGGGAGGAATCACAATAAAAAAAAAATAGGATGCAGGCAAATCTGATATATACAGTGCTTTGAAACAACATACTGTTTTATAATCTGCCTAATGCGTTACAGTTGGCCATTGAAAAAAAAATGGAGTTAAAACTCTCATATATTCTCAGAAAAAAAAAAAAGTAAATATAATGTGCTGTATCTTCTCTGGAATTGCTCCCTGTATAGATATTTTCCCTCAAAGCTTATCTTAAATCAGACAAAACATATTTTCCCCCCGCTTCATGTAGGAAACTAATACAGAATATCTTAATCTAGAAAACTACGCTTGTGAAGTTCGACAGTTGCTTGAAATGATAGTAACAGACTATTCACTTTTTGTTTTTCTGATGTGTAAACGTGTCCAGGTGAGGAATGATCTCAGAATACCTGCAGCACTCTACATTCATATTGCATTTTATTTCAGAATAATTTATTCTGTTTAGGTAGCCTATTTGAAAGAAAATGTCAATATTTATCTGTGCCAGAAAGCTATTATTAAATCTGCTGGGTAAGAATMTGAGAATGACTGCACTAACAGATGAGTGTGCTACCAAAAAATTTAAAAAATGCTGAATCATGAATTGGGTAAATAAGAGAATACAATATTTTAAAAGATTTAGATTATGCCTAAACAGAGGGATTTAGGCCGGGATCCCAGACTCCTCAGCCGATTTTACATTCAGCTGCTTCCCCGTGGCTTACTGGGACACTGGTTCATATTCTCCTTGTTTCTAGGTGTAGCCACCATCTGATTTTCCTGGCTGTGAAGACAGGTTCTGAATTACCAGGAGACCAAGGGAGCAGGGCATATCGCACAGTCCACCTATGACAAATACTTATGTGCAGCCAGAATGTCCAGAAACAAATAGTTCAGTTAGCTATGTCCTTTATTTAAAGTATCAATTCATTTTAATGTGTGTTATGCTTTAGCTAAGAGAATCAGCATATTTAAATGGCTTCACTAGCTAACAGAAACAAGTTCGAACAGATTCCATTTTCTATCCAAAACCACCTTGACACAAAGGAAGAAAATTAACCTAGTACACAAGACAAAACAAAAATCTCTATTTTCTCATAAAAACACGGAAGTATTTTAGTCAGATGCATGTCAACTGTAAAACCATTTATGTATAAAAGTAGTCTGCCCTAGTGGCACACAGTAAGTACCAAAACAAATATGCAGTTGTTAACCATGAAGGTATTGATTTGCAAACCGTGAAAACCAAATCTTGTTTGAGACTGAAAAAGCAGAATGTGCCCTGGGTGAGTCTGTCCCAAGCTGCCTCTGTGCTCACAYAGCCCACATGAGTGCCACCCAGCTCCGGCTACCCAGCTCAAACATCCCTCCCCGCTCCCAAGGCAAAGACGCAGCCACCTCTTGGCCTCTCTGCTTCCTGCATGTCTGAGAGCAGCATCCCAGGTTTTCATGTGCTTAGMTGCTTTAGGATTCTTTCCCAGCAAGTCATAGCTGTTGCAGTACAACTTGTGGGAATAATTTGGGGACCTTGGGGAGACTGTGGTTAGGTCAATGAAGGGCTGCAGCATTCGAATGAGGCTGACTAGGTACTGCAAAGTGAGCAAAGTTGCATCCCAAGCTACAACGCAGCTTGGACTTTAACCACATCCCTAGTTGTGAGGGCAAGTCAACATGGATTCAAGAACAAGCATCAACATGGGAAGCTACTGCAGAATAGAGAAGCTCACACAGACACCCCTCCAAACATTTTTATTGGAAGGCATGAAGAAGTCCGCTGGTTCAGAGTGGCAATAAAATTTCTGCTTTCTAGCAGCTGTAACCCAGGTGCTCTTATTCTGTATATTAATTTTCTCAGCTGATATAAAGTYACTTTATTAACTCTGAGTAAGTCAGAGAAAAGCATATTTTATTTTTAAAAGCTGTGACTTACCATGTCCCCTCATGTGATCTCGTAGCAGCCTTTCGTTGGCGAAGCGCTTGTCACAGTTCTGGCAARCAAATATTTGTTCTGAATTTAAACAGAAAATATTTAATGACAATCCAAATAATTAATTAAAAGTATATGASTAAATTACCTATTGCTGCCAATTTGGTGAATAAACTAACGCAACACTGAGACAGTTTGGGTATTCTTTCCATGACCAATACACTTCACCCTTCAGTTTAGGCTCAGTGAARAGGATTCTTCACTAGTCATTTAATTTTTATCTCAACAGGATAGTAAGTTGTGCAAAAAACGCCAGCAGTTTGAAATTTGAGCTCTTATATCAATAGCCTAGAATGTTTCCCTTTGGCAAAATCCAAAATTCCTAAACATATKCCAAGCATTTAAAAACAGAAGAAAAAAAAATCAGGCTTTTCCGTTGCTTTTTAGCATATGGGAAAGTATGATATGGTTTGTTGAGGTAGGGAATGTTCTGATGAAGAAAATACTTTCGTCTGAAAGTAGTTAAATGATCATTGTGCTTACTTGCAGAGATTTTGTAATCCAAACCTGGTTCTAGTGAAAGTTGTCTCTTCACAATCAGCAGCCTCTCCCACTCGTAGGCAGTTTCACTCTATCGGTGGAATGCCCTGCTCTGCACGGAGGGACGGGAGGCAGCGTCGTCACAGCCTGGCTGCGGTTGGAAGGRACCCCTAGAGATCATCCAGTCCAACCCCCTGCTCCAGCAGGGACACCCGGAGCACGGGGCACAGGGCGGCATCCAGGCGGGTTGGGAAGATCTCCAGAGAAGGAGACTCCACAACCTCCCTGGGCAGCCTGTGCCAGCGCTCTGTTACTCTCACAGGGAAGAAGTTCTTCCTCTCATGGAGATGGAACTGCCTGTGTTTCAGTTTGTACCCATTACCCCTTGTCCTGTCACTGGTCACCACCTAGAAGAGTTTGACCCCAGTCTGTGGTGGTGCCACAGCTGCCAGGTGAAACACAGATCTAAGAGTGGTTTGGGTTTTTTTGTTTTGTTTTCTTTTGTTCTGTTTTGTTTTGCTTTTCCTCATAACACTAATCCACCAGAACTGCCAAGGCAAAAGAACTTCCATGACTTATGAAAACTGGCGCTCTTTYGGAGTTAACACTGTTGTCAAGCAACTGGCTCATATGAAAAATAGCAATATTTATTAAATGTGTATTGTAACCTATCAAAATCTCTTAAAAGAAATATAAACAAATAAATAAAGCGTATCCACTTACGATCTTCTGAAACTTGTCTCTTTGCATGATCAAAAAATTTAGTGTTGTTAGAGAACATTCTTCCACAAGTTGGACAGGCCACAACTCTTTCTTGCGTGTGGGTTCTTAAATGATCACACAGCTTGTTCTTWCCTTTAAATACTCCAGAACAGTCTAAACCAAAAAAACAAAAAATAATAAACACTAGTACTTTCCTTTTTCTTCAGTACAAAAAGAAAAGGCTAATACATATTTATGGCTTACTGATACATAATTAGGAAACCAAAATTAAGCATTTTATAGTGAAAATTATCACTATTGCAAAAATTATGTGGCATTTAAAGCCACAAACGTCCATTCTAAAGTCAAAGATTATTTCTCAGTAATTGGAATTCTTCAAGATATGCTGCTCGTGCGGAAAAGAGAAGAGAAGAGAAGAGAAGAGAAGAGAAGAGAAGAGAAGAGAAGAGAAGAGAAGAGAAGAGAAGAGAAGAGAAGAGAAGAGAAGAGAAGAG